TTTTTTTTTTGATTAGAAATATGTGGTCTTTACATTTCCAATTTTACGTAGCAAGCAATAGCAGAAACTGCATTTTTATAATTTTATTTTTCTATGCGTTAATTAGTCGCACGTCGAATTATTCAAAGTACCTATTACATTACAATTGAAATATAGAATGTAAAGATTTTTCTACAACAAACATTGTGATCAATGTTGAAGCATGTAACGATCTTTCCTACTCGTATAAATTGTTACATTTTTGTTGTTTAAATTGTAAACGGCACTAAGGAAAGGTGAAATCTTTATTTTGTTTCTATTAGACCTGTAAATGCAAAGATCGCTTAAGTAATTCCCGTTACGTGTATCCTATCGATATTCAGTGTTATAACTGTATTAAATTTATATATTTAAGTGGACGATGAATTAAGCAAAGTTAATATTATGTCATCGTTCAACGCTGGACGTAAAAGATATTGACATTTAACAAGTAGTTGGTGTACTTAAGTTTAACAATTGGAACAATTTGAGCAGCTGCCGAATCATGCGGTCTAGGTATTTAATATTATTATATTTTTATATGTAATATTCTTCGAGTTACTAACTCGCGTGATGATGTAATGACAAAGCGGCAAAAGCTAATTCGAGACTAGAAATCACAGGAGTTTCTAAACGCATGTTGATAGAAGGAAATCGTATTTTGAATAACATTTATATGCACTTTACTCACGTCTAACGAATAATTAATTAACTATCGGTATAAAATCATTATAAAACTCTTGCTGTCGCAAGATTCTAATTGAAAGAAAGAAAGAATTGCATATAAAATCAAATACTGATGATATGAAGAGGAAGTCTTTCCAAAAAAAAAAAAAAAAAAAAAAAACTAAATTAACTGAATTTAATTATAATTAAAAAGAAAATAATTATTATCGCTACTGTACATATGTATATTAATCAGCAATGTTCTTTCTAATTAAATATATATATGTGCAATTTTATTGTGTACTGAGGTGGTAGTAGCTTAAAGAGCCATTGAATACTGCTCTGTAAGTATGATTGTAGAGGTATTTAAAAAGTGTCGATCAGTGTTCAACGAAGTTAATTATATTTTGAAACATATATTTTCATTGTAGCTTAACGGGACTATTAGCATGTTTATCTAGTGAATTACAATATGACGTTTATTTCGAAGTTACCGGGATATTTTTTTGCTTAAGAAAAATTTTTCTCATTACCGTGGAAGTACCATACAAAGTTAAAATATTGGTGGCCTAACGCTTGCAATATCATTGAACTAACAGTGATGCTCTAGGACTCTGATCATAATTAAGATATAGCAAAATGAAAATGAATACAGAATAGATAAATTTAGGATATTATACCGTGAAGCAGAAATGTCATAGTTATTTACGATGTATTTTATTCACCAAAAGTGTTAATGTAGCTATAGATATTATGATATCTATATAAATATATTTGTGTAAAATGCGTGTACTTTAGTCAGTTCAAATATTATTATTATTATTATTATTATTATTATATATAGCGCACGATTTAATGTTGAAATCGATATATATATATATAAGTGGAATTTCCTTTTAAAATCAATGGAAAAAATATAATTCAAGAGAAATATTCTGTTTCCAATGACTGCGCCCGCTTGTCTGAACTATGCAATTATTGCAAACTTTGGAAATTTCTATAAATTCTTGCAACATATGTATCTTATAGTTGTAAAAAAATCGGTACAAAAACATAAAAATAGAATATTTCTCTTTTAATTGACTTTTGGTTGTGACATTTTTTGGGATAGAAGTATAAGCGAAGAAAGAATGGATCATAAAAAAGGCAAAAAGGGGTAAATGAGGAAATGAGGAATAAAAATTATATTTTTCCAACATTTGGTTGCAACCATTCACTGCGCCTGCCCGTTAGAGTGTTTTGTACCTACATTTTTAATTGTCATTGCAGTTTTTGAATATTGTACAAGGAAGTACTAGTTTATTCCACGTTTCAAGGGACCACAGAATATAGACAAATAATAAAACATACAGAACCTTGTTTTTTCTCATTTTACTTTTTCATCGATTATTCCTTCATCTTCTCGTTCTCTTTTAATTTTTACTTCCTTTACATTTAATTATTTACATCATACAAACTTGTACAATATCTATATATTATTTACTAATTATAATCTGCTTATGGTTAAAAACACAAACACAAACAAACACATGCGTCGTTTCACTTGAATTCACCATTCATCATTCGACTTGAACTCATCTTTGCAGCAAATGGATCGATGAATTTTCCTTAATTCCTACGCTTATTTTCGAAATCCTTTCTTAGTATATTTACTGCATTTTCTTTTGAACGGCTTAACAGGCTTCGAGTCGCCTTCATTCTCCACTTTGCTTTTACTGTTTCCTCTTCCCAAGTCATTAACCATAGATTTCATTCCCTTGCTTCGAATTAACAGTCTGCCAGTTTTCCTAGATGCTCTCTTCTTGCTTCTAATCCTTTTCTTCCTCTTGCGTTTCTTTTTACGATCCATGTTAGCTATTATCGCTTCGGTGTCAGCTGATACTTTAACTTTCGGCTGTTGAATCGTGACGGTTACCCTCACAAATAAATCGTACATGACATCGCCACAATATTCACCGAAGCAATACTCCTCTCCACACTCGGCACAAATTTTTACGCTACTTTCGATCATACCGGCGCGATTTTTAGTACGTCGAATGGGGCTTACAATCGATCGTCGTTCTTTCGCGATTGTTTTTGCTTCCAGTTTGCCCATTTCCACCTGAGAGAGACAGGACAGTAAAATAAATAATGTAGATTCGATGGTGATGTTTATTCTTTTAAAATGTAAGCATGTTAACGTTTTGGCCAAAAGTTAATTAAACACGCGAAACTCGAATAAAATAAATATACCAATCTGGAAAACATTTCTTCGTCTTGCCGATGCTTTGGCCTGATCGGTGTTAACATTCTCCAGTCGATAGCAACCTGTTGCAATTCGCCAAGATGCAACTCCCTCATGTCCGGAGGTACTGGATTTCCATAATTCCATTCTTTCCCAAGCGCTTTCAATTCTTTCCTCGTTGGCTTCCAAGAAAACTCTTTATCGCGCACTTTTGTATCGTCTTTCTTCACCTATTATCACGATTGCTCCATAGTTACTGTGATGCTTATAGTTACTTTTTAATAAATTCTAACAAGCAAAGAATTCAATTCAAACCTTCTCCGGCTTAATTTTAAATTCAGGACAGTTTTCAAGAAGCCGTCGGAATTCTTCTTGAGAATTACAGGTTGCCTTGCTTAAATCAGGCAATAAATTTGCATCCTTCTTATCTTCCTTTAGAAGATCGTCCAACTGGAAGGCCATTATCTACATCTGCAATCCAAGAAAAATATTCACATCTCATTTCCCGATACATGTTAAATCATTATTCCGTCCTTATTCTATATATACGTTGTCTGTACGATCTCGTTTTCTACGAAAATAAAAACGAAAGCAACAAAAACGTGACGAACGAAAAGCGCGACTTTTTGTTCTTTGGTTTCTCTTAAAAGATCTCGGATGCAGCGGGAGAGATCAGGCATCTCTCGGAATCCCATTCGATCTGTTTCATTAAAAGACCCTGGAAAAACAAAAAAAGAGATAGATTTACTCGATTAGATTATGGGACATCGACACGACGCTTACAAATACTCTCCGTCTCGTTTACGCGTTTACAACATACGTTTTTCAAGGTAGATAATTTCGATAAAATCTCTTGGCCGCACCAGATATTGGAATTTTCGTTTACTGATTTCTTGATATCGTCGGTGTTATCTGTACGAGCGTTGCCTAGCTGTCGAGTCTTATCGTTTTGTTCGCATCTAGTATCCTCGATAGTGAGTCTTCCATTTTTATCAGTTCTCAGTGGTATGATGGAATTCAAGCTATCCATCGAGAGATCTGCGTCGTAGTTGTCGACCTTCAGCTTTGGCCTGTTCAACGCTCGAATTTTCGATTTAATGTTTAGAAATTTTCTCCTGTCGGGAGATGGCGACCTATGTCGAGAAACATCTAGTCGATCGTTTGTTACGATATTCTCAGTTTGCGAATGAAAATGTTTAAAGTAAAAATTACCTGGAACGTTCATCGCTAGACTCCACCTGACGCCTCCTCATTCGCAATCGTCGTTGATAATGAGGATCTTTTTCACTCTGCGTACGATATCGAGTTCCCGGCCTAAAGAACCGTTTGAGTTATCTGAATATTCTTTGTATCCGAAACAACTATTCGTTAAATGTTACCTATTAGCATTCCACTGCGGTCTGGATTCTATAGCCCTTCTAGCTTGAGGTTTCGGCCGAGGGAACGACTTTACAAGAATTTCATCCACGGATCCAACGTTAGTAGACCTTTTGTTTTTAAATTGACAAATAAATATTGCACGCAATAAGAATGCGTGAATACGTCACAAAATATTTGCACATTCGTGAATATTCAAATACAACGAAAATAAATGTAACGTGGATAATGTAAGTAATGTACACACGTGCAAATAAAAATTACATTTAAAAAGAAGAAAAATAGTAACGTGAAAAAAATAAAAGAAAAAAAAAAACTGTACAAATGTAAAAAGTTGTGGGAAATAGATTTTCGAGAAACGAAATGAAATCATAATTACCGCTTCTATTTGCAAGACAGAAGAATAATATCCTCTACGACTCTTCAAGTTTTCAATTGATTCAATGCATCATATTACGACTCACTTTTCGATGTCCCTTTTAATTGCATTCGTTGCATCCTTGCGGTCCTTCATAGAAGTATCCTTAGCGGACAAGTCCTGCACTTTCACCGGGTAATCCTGATCATTTTCTATATCTGTTTGCGTGCCGAAATCTCGACCGTTCGTGGCTCTGTACTTGCTCGGAGTGAGTAATCTGTTCTCAACGATTATCGACGATATTCTAGAGGAATTTGGAGTGAGGTTCGAACATCCTATGTTCTGCATCAGGCTATTCAAACCTACGCACAAATTGTTGTTGGAATTATTTTCCAATCTTCTTGGCGTTGGAGTCAGCACCAAATTGACTAACTGCAGATTCGCTTTATTCAGCAGATCTGAATCTTCGAGTCGGCCACTCAACACAATGGCCACATCCTTGCTGACAGGAACCTGAACTGATTTCGTATCGTCGGTATTTTGTTCCGATTCGTCCGTCGTATTGTTGTCATCATTGTTATTATCATTGTACGTTTCATTATTATTACTGTTGTAGTTATTACTCTCTTCTTTATTCAACGTTTCCGTTTCGTTCTTAACATCGTCATTGTTGGAACTTGGATTCGGTTGACTCCTCTCGCTCGGACAATTCTTGTCGGTCTGACTTTCACACGAAGTATTGGATTCACGATCCGCGGAATACGCGGCGGGCGTTTCTTCGTTATTTTTCTCACACTTTCGCCGAAATTTCTTTTGTTCCTTCGCTAAACGTTCCGCCGCTTCTAAAACCTCGCGCATCGCCTCGGCTTGCCTCAACTTAGCCGCTTCCCGATCTTTCAGTTTTCTTTGCTCCTCCTCGAATCTGTGGTAAAAATGATCCATCGTCGGATTGTCGAACTAAGTACACGAACTTAATGTGCAATTTTTTTTACCTTTCCTTCTCCTTCTCCCTTTCTCGTTTGATCCGTTCTTCTTCCAGTCGTTCCTCCCTCATACGTCGCTCCTTTTCCTCTTTCCTTTGTCGATCCCTCTCCTCCAGTTGCTTTTTGATCGCGTTCTGCAGCTCCAGAGCTTTCTGTCTCTTCACCTCTCGCTCTTGAAGGATTTGTGCATCGACAGGAATATTTTGACCACGAAGATAGGTCTTGTTGTCGGATCCAATTGAGCCCACCGTCGAGCTATCCGAACTACTCGCACTGTCGTGATTAATAACTAGAACCTTGGTAAGTATTAACGAAAAAAAGAAGAAGAAGATTATATATTTTGAGTCTGTGGCCGAAGATGTTAGTCGTTGAAATCTAACTCGTTGAAATCGAATTACGAAGTATTTATTCTGACTGGATCGTACTTGACTGGAGTGGCCTAATCTCGACAGCCAAGAGGGTGGTGGTGGATCTCCTCGTGCAATCTCCTGGCCCCAGACGCTACCCCATCTTGGCCTGTTGAGTTCGCCTATTCTACCATCAGATAATCTCCTCGATGGTGGCAATGAACTTTCGGGTGTTGTCTGGTAGGGATTCTGCCACGTCTTCTCGCTCATGTCCGCTCCTAGTGGCTTGCAATCGGGCAACAATGCTAGAGAATCGAATTGAAATTCAATTCAAAGTATATGTGAACAATATGATATATATGTATCATCTCTTCTCAAGTTCCTTTTCATCAAGTTTTATCAAGTTCTCTTCTATTCAGAATTTCTGGCACATCGACTCACTTCCTTTCGCCGATACCGGCACGTCTACGGAGTCGCTGGCGTAACCGGAAGTCTCTCCCTCGCGTTCTTCGCCTTGCGAGCCGTAATGATTGTTCCTCGAATTCTCATGACGATCGTACAGCCGATGATGTTTCTCGGAGTGGTAATGCAGTCCTTCTGCAGCGAAATCTCGTTGTTGGCTCTGAAACACGAAACGTAACAAACGAATATATCGTAAACGCAATGGTAGAACGGTTTGCGTGACGAAAGAGCAATTTCTCCGCTTTTTCATCAATCTTGAAATCGTGCTACTTCCTAAACGTGCACATATACATCTGTGTGTGTGTGTGTGTGTGTGTGTGTGTGTGTGTGTATGTGTAGTTGAATATGATTGTTGTACCAGTGCGAGACAGGGACGACAAACCGTGACAGGGTTCTGTATCGACTTGCGAGATTGATAGTGGCTGTTCGCTATCCTGACGTAGTTCTAAATTTAAGCAAGTGCAGTTTCGTTGCTTTTATTGCGCTCCATTATTTGAATTTGAACGAGAACAATTCTCTCGAAATACATGCTCTGGAAAGAAGGAATTACTTCCTTTTCTGATATTCTACCGTGCAGGTCGGTGCTACAATTATTTTAACATTATTTCTTTCTGTTTCAAGCTATCTATATAAAGTATAATTGCTTCAACTTTACGATATAAGAATTGGGCTATGTACTACGAAGCATGTAATTTTAGTAGTGAGACTTGGGACATACACAGGGACATACAAGAGGTAGTCGAGAGGTGAGTGAACCTCAGCTGAAAGATAAGAATCGATTTGCCAGACTGCCTTACTTTTGCTCGCCCCTTGCGAGTAAGACACAGAGTCACGTATAGTTTTCGACACAGTCTCGAAACGGCAATTAAAAGCACGTGTGTTAAAAGCTCGTTTGTTATTCTGCTGCCGCACGGCATACAGCTTTTTGGAACAAATTGTACTCGTTGAATATTCAAAAGCAATCAATCATACACGACACAGAAGCACAGAATACGGGACAATGTTACAAATATTCAGTTACGAAAAGAAACTACGAAACTGCTGTCCTAGATTTTGCGTCTATGTATATTCAGTTTCATAAAAATTACCCATCCCTACCCATTTCTGTACCATTATTTATTTATTATTGGACTTTATGCGGATGTTTACGCTGATTGCGGGAGAATTTTACTTTATGTGCATCAGAATATTACTTAACGAGTGAAATGAATCTTTATCCTTGCATTATTGTTAACAAAAATATAATAGCAGTCAAAGATTTATCAAAGGTGTCTTTCTACAAGTGTTCAAAAACGTTTTTTTGTCGATCGTTGCAAACGAACCTGACAAAGATATTGTTGCCGATCCTTGTTGTAAATCGGTGGCAAGCTCGGGCTTCTCTGCCTGATTTGCGACACTTCCGTCTGCTCGTGCAGATTTATCAAGCTACCACCGTTGCAGTCCAAACACTTTAGGCTGGTGCCGCCGTTTCCGGAACTCTCTGTCGCCAGACTCTTCAGGCTGACGGTGCTTCCGTAATGTCCAGCGGCACGAAAAGGTTTCGAGGACGACAGCTTGTCCTTCGTGTCCGCCAAGGACATTCTTGCGCCGCCGCTCGGATACGTTCTGCGTTACGCGTTTTTACACGTTTAAGTTTATTAATGTACGCCGTGTGCAACGTAGAGACAGCTTGATTTACAATCGGATCGATGGGAACAGTCTCTCTGGCTAGCATTGAGCACGGCTGTTTAATATGGCCTACTGGATATCTAATGAATTAGGTACGAGTACCTTGACCTTATTTGGCTGCCGATGTGTTCTTGGACAGTTCAGCGAATTTACAGAGGAAGATGTGGTAACTTGTCATATACAATGATTTAGTTGCTCGGAGATCATCGTGCTTTTAAGTAGCTTTTAAGTTCTCTTTGAAATGAATCGCGTATCGTATTTAACTTTGTGAAAACCAGAGATGTACTTAACCAGAGATGTTCGATCGAAGGGTTCATTTAAGTTAAGTCCTCTCGATCTATTGCATTTGATGTTCGAGAATTATTCGAGAATATCAAGAAACATGGCCAATTGAAGATTGAACCAAATTTTCCCGAACAAAAGAATAAAGATAATTGAATTTATCGCGACCCGTCCGTTTATTCTATCATCGTAACGCAATACTTACCGGATATTGGTGCGGATATTGACGTTATCTTTCAGAAGACTCCAACTTCCACCGAGACGTGCCATTTCTTCTATAGTATATTCGTATTAGAGACATTATCAGCCTTTGTCATATTTATTATTTTATTATTTTCTATTCTTTATAAGAGTATTTATGTGACCTCAAATATCACGACAATTACGTTACACTACTTAAGAACGTAGCACGCGATGTGCTATTTCCGTGTCCGACGTATCATCTTTAATTTCGATATTTTTCAATGTCTACGATTATTATAGTATCGAGCAGATCTCAGCGATACTAAGTTTCCGACATGATTGTTTATTTTCCCATTTGCATCACGAAGCGGAATATTTTATGAGTAACGTGTCTGCCCTATATCTATTACCAAACCCGGAATAATTCGCATCGTAGTGATCGGTTAAAAATTTTCTATTTATTAATGGAATGTAAGAACGTAAGAACTCCCTATTCCATCATTCTACAGAAATTACGAAATATTTGACGAATTATAATTACAAGCCACTGTCAATGGCAGTGGGGATTAAGTCGTAATGCAAATGGATGTTTACAGAAGGATGTTTATTAACGAGTAATCAAAATTTCGAGTCTTACCTCTCTCTCTCGCCCACTGGATCCTTTTTTGTTCCACCAGCGACGTTCTCCCGAGCATTATTATCGGCGCGCGACGCGATTTTCGCGAAACGAAATTTGCACGAAAAAAGAAATTAAAGAAAGAAAGAAACAAAAAAACGAGAACCTACGTCAACCGGTTTCTTCGGTAAATCAGTCCTTAGTAAGTAAGCGCGGCGTAAGTTTTTACCTATTCAGCCGTTTCTTTATTATGTTTTCTTTTCTTTTCTTTTCCTATCTCGAAGATGCGGTGAACCATCGGGCGTTCCCGGTGGGACGCGAGTTTGGCCGCGAAACCTACACCTCGAGTTCGAAACCCTTGGAAACGTCAAAAGACGTTGCTCGAGTTCATCGCAGGTCGTGTCAATATTTGAGACTGCGGTAGGGCTTGCAAGACTGTACAAGGTTCACCAGGCACGTACTTACTTGCACACACGTGCAAGCCGCTTCTATTAAACGCGAAAGGAACGCGCGGCCGCGATTCGATCGCCGGCTACGTTTCTATGGGAACAATCGTGAATCAACCACGGCGAGCCTCTTGTACACTATTGTCAGGGTCGATAATATTGACCAGACAGGCAAGATAAGGGATAATGACCTCCAACCGTCTATTTGACGGTCAGAGATCGCATCCTCCACGATAAATGTTCGTTAAAAATCGCGGTCTTTAACGTGTACTGATACACGTTTTCACTATTGCCAGACTTTCTGTTACTACTATACGCGTCTCTCAGTTTACGTATTTCAGTCTCACAAGTGGACGATTTTGATTGCCCGTCCGAGGTTTCTGACCTGACGGAGCATTTGTCTATATGCGATTTCCAATTGTTCCGTCTGATATTCAGTATTTAATGTTGGAAACTTTTAAGTCTACTTCATAATAGGATTATTAATATAAAGCCAACGCTTTACAGATTTTTCCTCGTATAAAATATCATTTAATGCTTCTAATTTTGAAGTAAATAGGAGTAGAAATGTACAGGATTAAATATACACATGCAGTGGCAGTGCTTAACACAAATATACCTATAAAACAGAAATACATCCATGACACAATATAATTCAAAACTCTCAATAAATAATCTGGTTTAATTAACTTATGATTTAATGATCTCTCCAGCAAACCTGGAGAAGTAACGTCGGATCATGATTCCTGAAATGAAAAATATGATTAAATTCCCTTCGTATCCTCAAAGGGATTCAATTCTTTCTATTTTCTAGAATTACAGCAGATATTCGGAAATCATGATTAATTAGAAGATTACTATTTCAAAGATAAGTAAGATTAATTTATTTAGATGATAAGTAGAAAATTAAAATGTAGATTATAGATTTCACAGATAAGCGGCACTAAATTTATGATGCAAAGATGATTGTAGGTAATTTTGGCTAAACCGATTGTTTTGTAGCATTTTTCGAGTTTTTATTACTTTTCACAGTAAACGGAACAGTAAATCAACAGCGATCGACAGCCTCATTCGAACCTTCAAGTAATCGGCGAAAGCTCGGAACACCCTCCAAGGTTTCCAACTTTCCCTCACTCGGTGGAGAAGGTATATTTCAAAAGGTGTATTTATTTTTAGAATTCCAATAGTTATGAAAAGGACAGCCTGGGACAGTTCCAACAGTTATGAAAAGGATACACAACAAAGAGCCGAGAGCGATCGGCAAGAAATTTTATAATTTGCAAACTATGTAATTTTGAGCAAACTTGGAAATAACGTCCTTCAGCTGTCCTACATTATGTTGAACGTTTGATGTTGAAAAAGTTCATAAATGAATTCGATTTCATAATGTGAATTATAAATAAACGGGCAAATTCATCGCGTTGATGCCGTGTGATGCCACAGGCTGTACAAAAATTATTAATGACTACTCGATTAAATAAAAATTTATGTACCAAAATATGTGAAATTTATTATATAATCCCCGAAATATGGTCAGAAACAATTTTAATTCAAATATCGAGTGTAATTTGTGAGAATTAAATATCAATCCAGCAAGTTTCCAGTTTCGAAAAAAAAAAAGTGTAAATTTTTATTTGTATATTTTGTGGATTAAATAGAACGTAGGAAGAAAGATGAGAGTTTAAAATGGAAGATGCAAAAGTCCATAAAAATGCAGTCGCAAAAGTTCATAAATTAATTTTACAAATCAACTTTTTTCGCAAATGAAAATTCAAAATCAACTGATAAGTAATGCCATCTATCGGAAGATGTTCATTTCATCAGTCCGCTGAATTCCTATTTTAACAACTCTATATTTTTATTAAAAATTAAAAAGGAATTAATTTGTGATTGTATCTTCTTAATTAGACTTTCAGCTTTAATTTTATAGCTCAT